GGCTCCCACCTGGCCCCCAATATTCCCAAATTAATACTTTTCTAGTCTCTTACATTTGTGTGCAGCCTCCTCTAGAACCGGAACCTTGAACAGGAACCCTGGACCATGCGGGACGTGAAAGGGGTGCCCGCAGGCAGTGGATGAAGCTGGCTAGCAAACACAAAGACAAAGGCTGTCCACCCTTTTCCCTTCCTTCTTTAATCTTCTCATGTTATTTTTAGCTCACAGACATCATTCATCAGTAATGTCAACTTCTGTGAGCTAAAAAATGATCTATTATATGATATAGTGGCCCCTCTGCAGAAGAGAGAGGACCTTGTGTTGACGGACATGGAGTGAATTCCAGAACATATTAAGGTCAAAACCAAGTGCAGAGCAAGCTTACCATGTGCTGCCATTTGTTTTACAAAGAGAGGTTGGGAGTATACACACTCCCTCACACACATGTGCTATGCATGCATAGATGCTCTGTTGAAAAAAAGGGTTTCTTTTCTCTCCTTATGAAGGAAAAAATTTATACTTAAGGTACGTGGGATGTTTTATCAAATAAGAAATCATAACCACATTAAAATGATCTAGAGATTATATAAAAATCTCCAAGAGTCTATAAATTCTGAGACTTTCATTTATAACTGATTGTTATTCTGGAATGTTGTCTCTTACAGAAAGAACATGATTAGGTGTCAATTACATTATAACCCTATAAGATTAAAAGGGTTATAATGTAATTGATATATGCAGCCCTAACTGGTTTGGCTCAATGGATAGAGCGTCGGCCTGCAGACTGAAGGGTCCCAGGTTCGATTCCAGTCAAGGGCATGTACCTTGGTTGCAGGCACATTCCCAGTAGGAGGTGTGCAGGAGACAGCTGATCGATGTTTCTCTCCCATCGATGTTTCTGACTCTCTATCCCTCTCCCTTCCTCTCTGTAAAAAATCAATAAAATATATATATATGTTTTTTAAAAAGTTAATATGCAAATGGACCAAAGGGTGGAACGACCAGTCTCTATGATACACACTGACCACCAGGGGGCAGATGCTCAATGCAGGAGCTGCCTCCTGGTGATCCGTGCACTTCCACGGAGGGGAGGGGGGTAGTGCTGCTCAGCCACAAGCCAGGCTGATGACTGCAAGAACAGTGGTGGTGGCAGAAGCTTCTCCTGCCTCCGCAGCAGCTCTGAGGATGTCTAACTGCATTTAGATCCACTCCATGGGCAGCAGACCTAAGCTGTTAGTTGGACATCCCCCAAGGGCTCCCATACTACCAGAGGGCACAGGCTGAGCTGAGGGATCCACCGTCCCTCCCAACACCCTCCCAGTGTAGTGCACTGGGCCTCTAGTTAGATCTATAACTATTAAAGGATTCCAGGGCAGGAGGAATAGGGAAACCGAGGCAGGAAAGTTAAGATAAGGCCACACAGGGTGGGCCATTTGCAGCCAGCTTGTAACTAAAAGCCATTTTCTTCCCCAGCCCAGGGCACAGCAAATGGTTAAAAGCCTCCCTAAGGAGATGGTTGGGGAGGAGGAGGGGGAGGGCGCGGGAAAAGGGCAGCTTTCCTCCCTAAGCAGAGAAGCCCGCAGTCTCAAGCTTGACAAGGTAGCATTGCCAGGTGCCTCTCCTGTGTTCTGGGAAGGCCTCAACAAAGGAAACAAGGGCCTTGAGAGTTACTAAAGGAATTTTGAGAGCTATAGACCCGAGGGTACATAGAGCCCTGACCCCACCCAGCCTGCTCTTCCGATGAGCTGAGACCTTCTATGCTTCATGAGCCAGATGAAAAGGTTTCCTCGCTTTGCTTTTTCAATAAAGGTGCATGCTCCAACCGCTTTAACACAGGTTTTCAAATGCAGCCACGGTCTATCCTATAAGCTCCTTTGCATGAGAACAAGGGTCAGGGTTGGGGACAGCCCTCTCCCTCTGGCTCAGAGGACTGTCCTGCCCGGGAACACCTCTCTGGTGCCTATAACATAACCATGTCATTTTAAGGTGTGTGTGTTTGTTTTCCCATTTAGAGACAATCTCTATTTTGTTATAATACATTTATTAAAATGTTACATCTTCTGAGAGATCCCTGGAAAGGACTCTTTATTTTAAACTAGAGGCTCAATGCATGAAATTTGTGCATGGGGAGGGGAGCTATCCCTCAGCCCAGCCTGCACCCTCTCCAATCTGGGACCCCTTGAGGGATGTAGGATCAGGCCTAAACAGGCAGTTGGATACCCCTCACAATCCAGAACAGCTGGCTCCCAATTTCTTGCCTGTCTGCCTTCCTGATTGCCCCTAACCGCTTCTGCCTGCCAGCCTGATCACCCTCTAACCACTCCCCTGCCAGCCTGATTGATGCCTAACTGCTCTCCTGCCAGCCTGTTTGCCCCTAACTGCCCTCCCTTGTAGGCTTGATAGTCCCCACGGCCAGGGCGGACACTCGCCGCCCCCCCCCCACCTCCCCCCCCCCCCCCCCGTTACCGGAAGTGCTGCGGGGAGGGGCTTTACGGATGCCATTGCCTTTGGAACCGGAAGAGGCTTGTCTGAGTGCAAGGGCTCTCTTTTCCTTTCCCCAGGAGTCATTCACACTTAAAATCCACCTCAGAGTTTCACGATCCCAGCCTCGTGGAACAGCCTCTGGCTCTGAGGACAGGAGCCTTCACAGGACAGGGTGCCCCCATCTCCATGGAGGAGCGGACACCCCGCACTCAGTGACCCGTGCTGTCACAGACTCTCAGGGTTCAGACCCGCCACCGGTCCCCCGGTCTGCCAGCTGCGGGCCCGGCAAATTGGGACGGTTCCCGTCTTCTCACGGACGGATTCACACCCTCAGGAGACGGTAACGGGACCCTCCTGCACAGCGTTCACAGGGCGCACATCCAGACTTCACAAGGCCCGTTAGAAGCAGCGTCTCTCCTCCGGCCTTGGGGCCGCCCCCAGAACCTCAGCATTAACCAGCGGACCATGTTGCCATGTGGTTCGCCCGATGGTTTGCATTCCCCTGGTGCCATTTCCGCCGTTTTCCAGAAAAAAGCCTGTCCGGGCTGTTCCCAGCATCATGGAGAGGTGGGCCCGGGCCCAGGGCCGCCTAGAGGCAGTGGGGCGCCCGCCTTCGAACAGCCTTTCCTCGCGTGGGCATGGGGAAGTCCCTGGAGCGTCCCTAACTCACCTTCCCACACTTCCAGCGGACCCGGAGGGAAAACCTGGCAAAACGAGACTTAAGAATGCTCCCAGAGCGGGCGACCGCTTCACAGAATCCCCATGGAGGCGAGGCGTCACCAGCACTTAACGCGCCAGCTGAGCAGCCGGCTGCGGTCACGCTGACCCTCTGACCGGCTGGAGCTTCTGCAGGTGGACACAGCTGGCTGGCCCTCCTCTCCCAACTCTTGCCTAGCAGTTTCCCAGGCCCCTCACCATGGAGGCCTGCACCATGGAGGCTTCGGAGTGAAGCTTAGTGGGTCTGCACCGGGGGGCGGCGGGCTTGGCCGGATGCTATGGGCCTGCTGGGCAGAGCACAAGCACAGGCAGGGACTCTCCCGTTAAGCCTGTGTGGGCCTGGGCGGGCGTGGACGTGTGGAGGGTCAAAGGTGTGCTGCTCTGGGAACCGTGCCTCAGTCTCTCCCAGCTGCCTAGACAGCCGCGGACCCGGTGCCAGTGCCCAGCCTGTGTGCATCCCCCGGGCCAGAGTTTAACTGCACGCAGAGGCCCCTGCCGTCTGTTAGGGTTCAACAACCCAGGCACACTCCCCCCCTGCGAGGTCCGGTGTCCTCGTAAGGACGTTGGGGATGCTGAGCCGGGGAAGAGATGCCGGGCAGAGGTCCAGCACTCAGTCCGTGGCTGGGCTTTATCTGGTGATGGGCGGGGCCCAATGCTCTAACCGGACCGGCACCAGTTCATCCTCCGGGAGACTACCTGACCGACCATGCCCGCTCTGGTTTTGGCCCTGGAGAATACATCCAGAAAGGCGGGGGGGGGGGGGGGGGAAGGGGGAGGGAAAGAGGGAGGGAGAGGGGGAGGAGAAGGGAGAGGAGAGGGAGATAGGGAGAGAAAGGAGAGGGGAGAGGGGAGAGGGGAGGAGAGAGATGCCAGGTTTTAGACGGAAGCCAAGTGTAAGTGGCTGGCGGGCGGCCGTCCGCCTCCAGAATCCTAAAAGAGACCGAAAAGAGGCCGAACCCGTGGCTGCGCACCACTCGGCGAGGAGGGCAGCCTGTTACAGAGAATCTCCGGGCCAGCGCCCGTGTGACAGCGGTTTTGGACCAGATCCGGGCTCACTGTCCGCCGGCACCGGAGCGGGAAGCAGAGGTTACCGGAGACCCAGCACAGGCGCCCCCGCGGGGTCCACGTGGGTCCGTCCCCCTGCGCGGTGGCTGCCGGCATCTCGGTAGGAGGGAGCCGCAGGGCCCGGCGTGACCTCAGACCCACAGGGACGGGGCGGCGAGGACAACCCTGGGAACCTTCCAGTTCAAAGGCCTCCAGCCCGTGTGGGCCCTCACGCCTGGTGGCTACGCGGAGCGCGGCGGCAGGGGGTCCGTGGCCCTTTACCGCCCGTCGCCGTGCCCGCCATCGCCGTGCCGTTCTCCCTGCTTTTTAATTTCTTTATTGATTACGGCGCTACATCCGCCTTCACCGGGCGCCGGCTCCCGGACCTTCCCGCGCAGGACCGCGCCACCCGCGGAGCCTCCACTTCCCCATTCCCTCCATTTCCGGGAAGAACCGCCCCGGCCGTGACGTACTTCCGGGAGGGCGCGGGGCGGCGGGCGCGGGGCGGGGCGGCGGGCGCGGGGCGGGGCGGGGCGGCGGGCGCGGGGCGGGGCGGCGGGCGCGGGGCGGGGCGGCGGGCGCGGGGCGGGGCGGCGGGCGCGGGCCCTCAGACCTCCTCCGCCGCCTCCGCCTGGGCCGTGGGCCCGCAGGCGCCGGTGCGGAGCCCATGAAGGCGCGGGCGGGCGGCGCAGTCCTGCCGGGGCGCCGGGAGCCGGAGCCGGCGCGGCCTGAGCGAGGAGCCCGCGGCGGGAGTCATGGCGGAGGAGCGCGCGGCCGTGCGGGCCGCCGGCGGAAGCGGGGTGAGCGGGGCCTCGGCGCCCAGAGGCCGGCGCTCAGGTTTCCCCTCAGCGGCGGCGGCGGGTTGGCGGGCTCCGGGCGGGCAGCCCGCGGGCCGGGGCCGGGCCGGCTCTGCGGGAGGTGCGTGCGCTGCAGCCGGACGGCGCGGTGCGGGCGGAGGGGCCACGGCGTCTCGGCGGCACCTCGCGGGGCCTGTCTTGTCGGGAAGACCTTTCCCGCCGCCCGCCCGCCCGCCGGGACCGGGGAACTCCCGGGAGCATCCGAGGAGGGGTCTCTCTCCCGGAGGAGGGGTCTCTCTCCCGGAGGAGGGGTCTCTCCCGGAGGAGGGGCCGGGCGGGAGCCGCACAGCCCCCGGGCCGGCTGCCCGCCGGTGGAGGGCCGGGAGCTGTCCGGGGCGAAGCCCGGCGGGAACCGGGCGGCCTCCGCACAGCCCGCGCCGGGGCTGGTCTGGAAAAGGCTGAGCGTCCCCATCCCCACGGCATCCCCGCGGTGGCGGGAGGGGCCGGGCTTCCTCCCTGCTTTCTGGTGGGGGAGAGCGCAGCCCTCTGCCGGCTCCGATGGCCGGGCCCGCCTCCCGCCCCGCCCCGCCCCGCCGGCCGCCTGGGCTCCGCGGGGGAAGGCGCAGGTCGGCTTCCCGCGGCCCCGGCCCGTTCCTCGGCATTTTTGACCTAGATTTGACTGTCTTGCTTACCACACGGCGGCTGCCTCCGCACTGGGTGTTGCTGTGACCCCAGAGGCCAGCAGGGCCCTGGCTGCGCCCGGGGTGGGAAGGGCCCGCCGGCGGAGCACCGCGCTGGGGGACGGCGCGCCTGGAATCCAGTCGCCGCCTTAGTTCACATAACTTGGGCGAGTGGCGCAACCTCCCTGAAGTAATAGGAATATTTACCTCAGAGATCGTGAGGGTACCATCGCCTGCACCTAGTGAGCCCTCAGTAATATTAGCTGTTATTTTTCTTTTTAAAAAAATATATCTTATTGATTTTTTACAGAGAGGAAGGGAGAGGGATATAGAGCTAGAAACATCGATGAGAGAGAAACATCAACCAGCTGCCTCCTGCACACCCCCTACCGGGGATGTGCCCGCAACCAGTGTACATGCCCTTGGCCGGAATCGAACCCGGGACCTTTCGGTCCGCAGACCGACGCTCTACCGCTGAACGAAACCGGCTTCGGCTATTTTTCTTATTTCTCAATATTTTTGGCATGAATGGTTGGTCAGATTCTATAAGGGGTCCCTGATTAATGAGTATTCAGTTCTCTCTATTTTACTAATCTATACAGGAACTAGAACCCACTCTGAAGATTAAAATTGTTAATTAGGTGTTAGAGCAGGAACTTTTGAGGTATGTTTACTTAAAGAAACCTAGGCAATTTATTCCCAGATTCCTTCTCTGAACCCTGAAGGTAGTTTGGGCACAAGTAGATTTTCATGTTCAGGCCTCCCTTTTCTCTGAAGGCAGAGTCACTACGTGTTAACACATTGCGGCGAGAGAGGAAGGGAGTGCCTGGTGCTGATGCAGTGAGAGCCGGCGCCCGTGGCCCGTGTGGAGGGGGGCGTGTGGCTGAGAGCAGTGGTGCCTGTAGTCCGGTCTGTTAAGGCATAGCCAGTGCCTCCAAAGTGTATCCCTGCTTGCAGTTTCTGTTTGCTAGCGTGTCACTGCGGGTCCCAGGACGTAGTTTTATTTTAATGTGTTAGAATTTCCCAAGAGCTTGACTTCATGGCGTTGGGTTCTGCCCATGTTACTGCGCTAAGGAAGAGGCTGCTGCCTTTTTATACCTTGTTTGGCCCAGAGGTATATTGACCTAAAAATGATATTGACAAGGAGATGTTAACCTGAATAATAGAAGGGAACCAAGTGAGCATTGCTTTCTATGAAAGGGAGGGTGCATTAATTTTTTATCTGGTGCAGCATGTGAATGGAAGTTCTTTCTGCACATAGTAGATAACCAGTTGCTATATCATTTGTTGAAAAGGCGTTTTTATTCACTGACTTGCTTTTGTAGCCTTGTCAAAATATTAGTCTATTCTGGATTCTCTTTCATTGATCTATTTGTTTATCTTTACATTAACACTATTCAGTCTCTGTTACTGGAAGTTCATAAGACAAAACAAATGAGAGTTAGTACTATGACTTTGTTCTCTGTTAAAATTGTTTTGGCTATTCTGGGGTCTGCATTTTAGAAGTAATTGAATCAGCTTTATAAATTTATACCAAAAAGCCTGGTGGTATTTTCTTTTTTATCCTATATAATAAGAGCTAACATGCAAATGGTTGTCACACTGTCATGCCACAACCTGAGGCTGCGCCCCCCACCCAGCACCAGAACTGAAGCTGCAACCCAGGGGTGGCCATAGGGGGAGCAATTGGAGGCAACCATGTTGGTGGTGGGAGGGAAGGTGGGGGCCAGCAGGGGGGGCAGTTAGGGTAATCAGGCCAGCAGGGGGGGCAGTAAGGGGCAATCAGGTTGGCAGGGGGGCAGTTAGGGGCAATCAGGCTGGCAGGCAGGTAAGTGAGCAGTTAGGAGCCAGTGGTCCCAGATTGTGAGAGGGATGTCTGACTGCTGGGATAGGGCCTAAATGGACATCCCCCAAGGGGTCCCGGATTGGAGAGGGTGCAGGCTAGGCTGAGAGGACCCCCCCCCCATGCATGAATTTCATGCACCAGGCCTCTAGACTACACTAATACAAGAGTAAGATGCAAATTGACTGTACCTTCCTGATACTCACCAGTCAATCAGGCATGAGTATGCAAATTGACCCAACAAAGATGGTGAGTTAATTTGCAAACACAGGCACTAAGCAGCTGGGGGCGGGATACTCTGGGTCTCTGGGCAGTGTGGAAAGGCGGCTCCAGCAGCCAGGGGAAGGAAGGCCATTCTTGCATGAATCTTCATGCATTAGGCCTCTAGTATATATACACTGAGTGGCCAGATTATTATGATCTCTGAATGCATAATAATCTGGCCACTCATTGTACATCCTATAAAATAGAAGGCTAATAGGCAAATTGTCCCGACTAGGAGGTAGGCCAGCCAACTGACCATGTCACCTAGCAGGTAGGCCAGCCAACTGACCATGTCCCCTACCCCTGGCCAGGCTGGCTGGACCCCACCCAGGCACATATTCATGCACTAGGCCTCTAATATATATATATTTACACACACACACACACACTGAATGGCCTGATTATTATGCTTTCAGAGATCATAATAATAATCTGGTCACTCAGTGAATATTTCCTTATTGATTTAACAGAGGAAGGGAGAAGGGGAGAGAGAGAGATAGAAATGTCAATTATCGATCAGCTGCTTTCTGCACACCTCCTATTGGAAATCAAGCCCACAACCTGGGCATGTGCCCTTAGCCAGAATTGAACCTGGGACCTTCAGTCCACAGGCCGTCGCTCTATCCTCTGAGCCAAACCTGCTAGGGCCCTGCTAGCATTTTCAATGGGATGGTGTTGATTCTGAAGATAAGTTTGGTGAGAAATAAAAACAATATTGAGTGTTCTGATCCATGAATGCATTCTCTCTCCATTTATTTTAGATCTTATTTCATTTCTCTCAGCTGTGTTTTGTAGTTTTCAATATATAATTCTTCCACAACAGTTGTCAGATTATTCCCTATTTCATATTTTGGTGCTATTGTACATGAATGTAAATATAATACAAATGTAAATTTTTTTAAATATATATATTTTATTGATTTTTTTACAGGGAGGAAGAGAGAGGGATAGAGAATTAGAAACATCAATGGGAGAGAATCATCAATCAGCTGCCTCTTGCACACCCCTTCTGGGGATGTGCCTGCAACCAAGGTACATGCCTTGACCAAAATCGAACCCAGGACCTTTCAGTCTGCAGGCCGATGCTCTATCCACTGTGCCAAACCGGTTTCAGCACAAACGTAAATTCTTTTAAAAAAATTAAATTCACAATTATTTACTGCTAATATATGGAAATAAGTTGATTTAAGAAATATTTATAATAGCCATATTTAACAAAATTTACCATTTTAACTATTTTAAGTAGTTCATTAGTGTTAATTATGTTCACATTGTTTTATCATCAATTTTCATAACTTTTTTATCTTGTAAAACTGAGACTCTATATATCCATTAAATAGCAACTCCCATTGACTCCATCACAAATCCCCTGGTAACCACCATTCTGCATTCAGCCTCTCAGTTTGACTCCTCTAGATACCTCATATAAGTGAAGCCATCTACTGTTTGTCTTTTTGTGACTAGCTTATTTTACTTAGACGTGATGTCCTCAGGGTTGTTGATACATGTTGTCATCAATACTGTTGAAAGGACGTGTGGCATGTGTCATAATTTTCTTCCTTTTAATACTGCATAGTATTTCATTTTATGTATATATACCACTTTTTGTTTCTCCATTTATCTGTTGATGAGTACTTGGGTTGCTTCTGTCTTTTTGCTGTTGTGAATAATGCTGCTGGAACATGAGTATACAAATACCTTTTTTGAGGTCCTGCTTTCAGTTCTGAATATCTATCCAGAAATGGGATTGTGGGATCACCAAGTAATTCTATTTTTAATTATCTGAGCATGTGCCATAAAATTTCTCAAATGGCTGCAACCTTTTACTTTCCTGCCAACAGTGTACCAGGGTTCTTATTTCTTTACATCCTTGCCAACATTGTTTTCTGTTGTTTTTTGTTTTTGATGATGGGTGTGAGGTGATGTTTCATGTTTTATATTTTGCACTCATCTAATAATGAATGGTGTTGAGCATCTTTCCATGTTTATTGGCCATATATTCCCATATGTTTCCCTATGTTTGTTTGTATATCTTCTTTGGAGAAATGTCAACTCAAGTCCTTTGCCCGTTTTTAAATCTGGTTATTTGGGGGGTGGTGCGCGTGTGTGTGTGTGTGTGTGTGTGTGTGTGTGTGTGTGTGTATGTATATGTTTTTTTTTGTTTTTTTTTTTTTTTTTTTGCGTTGTAGAAGTTTCTAATATATTCCGGATATTAG